AAACTCATTGAGATTCCACAATGTACCAAAGTAGACACAGATGCTAAGGAGGCAGTTCTAAACAAGGCGGCTTTTCTGTCACAATGTTATGAATGATAAGTCTTACTTCTTTATATTTCAGCACTATCAGAGTCAGTAACATATATGGTACTCTTATACATGTGTCACTGATTCTGGATCAGGAACCCTATATACGTAGTCTTTATTTGATTTTACCTATATATGTCTGCCTAGTATTACCTAAGCTTCTGGGACAAAGATTCCAAACTTATTTCTCTCTTTCCTGGGCATACAGCCAAATGGTTTCCTGATCTCTTTTTTTCTGGATAAGTGAGAATGTGTGACTGAGTTCTTGGTAAAGGAATATGAATGGAAATGATGGATGCTACCCAAAAAAACTGTTTCCAGCTTGGATACAGAGAAACATGCAAATAATTCTAAAGCACTAGAAGACAATAGAGAGCAAAATATTGAAAAATCTTGGGTTCCTGTATACCCACTAGAATCTTGTCTCCCCAGCCAACTATATTGGATTCTGACTTGAATGAGAAATAAACTTTTATTTTCTCACACTATTAATATTTGGAAAATGTTTGTTGAAGAGTTAACCTACTCTGACCAATACAATTTTTGTGATGAAGTTTCCTGTTTTTGTTTTTGTTTTTTTAACATAAACTCCCATCCAATTCTGATGTTCCACTGTTGGAGATAGAGTTAAACTCACAAAATGGAAATATTTACAAGAAATTTAGAGTTTCGCATTGTGTTAACTCCTTGAAGTGACGTAAAGCTAAAGTATGTGAAGATAGGGGCCTGCGTTATTATTTCCTTAAAATTCCTATGCAATTGCAACTGAGTTTTGTTGTGAATATAATTAATAACATTAAATATTTTTCTATTGTGAGGAGAAAATGAATTCAGAAATCAGGAGAAATGGGGTACATGAATGCTTGCCGGAGTGTAAGAGATCATTTAGACTAGGGAATGAGAGAAGCAAAAAAGAGATGAGAAATTGAAGGGGAGCTTCCTTGATTTCAGATTGCAACACACTGTGATAGCTCTTCATAAATATTTGGAAAGGGCATTTATTTATCCAGTATAACTCCAGAGAGCATAGTAAAGATTCATAGGTATATTTCATAGAGGAAGATTCCCATTTAATACCAGAAGAAATTATTGCTAATTATAGCAATTTCAATGAATTCTCCTCCAGAAATTCTGTATGCCTACATGTCAGGTAAACTTCCCTGGGCCATGTCTTGTCCTTGTTACTGTACTTTCACCTCCCCTGCTATGACCAATTTTGTTTTGTTTCGTTTTGTTTTGTTTTGTTGTTTAGATGGAGTCTCACTCTGTCGCCAGACTGGAGTGGAATGCAGTGGCGCAATCTCAGCTCACTGCAACCTCCGCCTCCAGGTTTCAAGTAATTCTTCTGCCTCAGCCTCCCGAGCAGCTGGGACTACAGGTGAGCACCACCATGCTTGGCTAATTTTTGTATTTTTAGGAGAGATGGGGTTTCATCAAATTGGTCCGTCTGGTCTCAAACTCCTGACCTTGTGATCCGCCCACCTTGTCCTCCCAAAATGCTGGGATTACAGGCTTGAACAACCGCGCCTGGTGCTATGACCATTATTGTGTGACACGTACCACAGGGGTCAAGCCCTCTTCTTTTCCTATGTTCTTCACTATGCTCTAGTATCTGAAGGGTCATTGACATCTCACTCAGATGCCAGGTCCTCCATGCCACATTCTGGACTCTTACTCAACATTATCTCAGCTTTTATGACTGTTATTTTCTTTGTGTAAATATAATTACCATAAGATATAAAAAACTAGAGCATGTCTTTATTTTAGAATTCCCTATATGTATTTTGTGTTTTGATACTCACAAAACAGTTGAATAAATCAATTAATTTATTTCTTTGGAGATATTGCAGACTGGATGGCTCTGAGACATGTAAAAACTCAAATTTCTTCATTATAAGTTGGCAAATAAAAATTTAATCAAGTGTCTTTTACTGGGTGGTTGGTAAACTAGAGAAGATTTTGAGAGGCACTGTATGCCTCTAGGAGGCTGGAAAACTCAGTAACCTGTTTAGGTGATCACTTTTTTTTTGCCTAACTTGAGGCGTTTTTTCTCTTCCACTGCCATACCATGTTGATTTTATTTTTCTTACAACCTGACCACATTTGAATTTTTCTCTGCTTATCTAATGTCTCCTCCATGTTATTCCTTTCAATGCCCATCCCAATTTTATACATCCAAATGTCAGTATTTTGTCTCCATAAATGAAGTGATTATCTCTTGCTTACTCTCCATATCTCTCTCTATATATATATATGTGTGTGTTTGTGTGTGGATATACACACACAAACATATACACATGTATTCATGCATACACATACATATATACCTACATACACATGTGTATATGTATATACTCGAATATTTATATATTTCTGTGTATATTACATATGTAAAAACATAAATACATTATTTTATGTATAATATATGTAACATAATTACATCATTAAATATGATAAATATTTTATATCATATATATCTAATGTATATTTAATATATCATGATCTATATCCCCCATATAATATACATCATGTTTTATTGCATATATGCAATCCCATATATTTCAGAGATATGAAAGCTATTTTCCAGTATATATTAGTTGCATGTTGAAAAATATATTAATTAAATCCTCTGTGTCTCAACTCACTTATCTGTTAAAGAGAAAATATTATAGCATTTATCTCATAGGGTTAGTAAGAGATTATACTTGTAACTTGGTAAGAAAGGTTTCTTGCTTATAGTAAGTCTAAAATAAATTGTGGTTCCTTTTTAATAGCAAAATCATGAGTAGTTTATAGCAATTGGAATGACTTCTAGATAATTGGTGCTTACAAATATGTGTAGAATGGAGGTAGACTATGCCCTTGACTATTTACAAATTTACTGAAAACAAACTATGTCTCAGATTTTATTATCCCAATACAAACCCTTGGAAGTATCTCATTTCTCCACTTTATTAAGTGGAAAAATGACAAAATGGTCATACTCACAGAACCCTTAAGGATTAAGGATTAAGTGTTCTGTGAGTATCACCATACTTCCACATGATGTGTCAAATTGATCTAGAAGTTCTTAACTCCCAAGTAATTCAACCTCAGTATGCAAAACCCTTTCTGCATTGAGTAGGGGTCTTGTTCCAAAGCTAAATAATTGTTATTCCCAGTATTTATCAATAAGTGCAGGATGAATCAAAATAAAGACCTTTTTAAAAAATGTGTCTTTAAGTACTATAAGATTGACACCTAATAAAGCAGCTTACAAATCATAACAATGCGCTATCATAGTGAGTAATGGACCATATGCAACGCACTCATTACCTGCTTGAATGTGGCTGCCTGCTGTAATTTCTGGTCTCTCACCTTGTAGCTCAAACTGGCACATAGCACTATGAGTCTCTGGGGCAAGTAACATTGTTGAAGTCATTAATCCCCTCCCCCCAACAGTCTTGTTCATCCTCCCACTGAACTGTGAGCAAATGACTTGGAACTCAAAGACCTTCCACAGAGCTCCTCTGCTCTTTCTCAGCCTGGCACATATAACAAAGGTTTATGGTACACATATGAGATTGTTTATTGAGTGTTATAAGCAGAACATTTTCAGCGTAACCCAATAGGGACACTAATATGGTAGATATGTTTTGGCTTGACGTGGTTACCAAGTCATGTGTGTTATCAGGAAAATAATTCTGCAACTTGCCTGTAAAGAATGAAAAGATACCTATAGATATTTTTAGTTCTCTTTAATGAATTTGAAAATTAGTATGTGAAAATCCACAAAAGTTGTCAACGTGTAGGTTAACATAACTCAGGAACTGGTCTATAATACACACTGGGGTATTTAAATCATTTAAAACTTTGTTTGGCAAACCATTATACTGACTTGACAAATTGAGATTCCTTATTAGTTTCAGTGTTGCTCTTGGCTTCAGTCTTCTTGATCTCCCCCTCCACTCCTAATTTCAAGCTGGATAATAGCAGCCTTGAATATCCTGAAAAAATTTTATGTGGTGGAAAATTTGTATGTGGGGTGGGTGAGGTTAGATAAGAAAATTGTTACGTGTTAAAAGTTTTAATGTATGAAACAAACTCTCTTTGAATAGGGTAGAATATGCCTGATCTTTAGATTTTTCTATTTTTATTTTTTATTTATTTTTTCCAGAATTTTTGGACCCTGAAACCAGTTTACATATTAAGAGAAGTGGGAGTTGTTGACAGAGAGGTCTTGCCTGCCCTAAGAGATAGGGTAGCCACTTATGAACAAGCTATACTGAAAACCTCCAAATACGGTCTGGTCCTGAGGACACATAACCACAGGGATGGAACTTGGCGGTGACAAAATCCCACTATCAACCATGCCAGGTTCTGACATCAGCAAGTTAATTATGGCCAACCAAAATTGGTGACTTTCTAAAGTACAGAAAGGAGACAATTTTAGCACAGAGGGGGCCTTTAGAAACACTGTGTTCAGAATTTTATTTTACAGATGTGAAAATACAGGCTAATACTATTAAATAACTTTCCCAAAGTCAGACAACTAGATGTAATATATGTATAAATCATCCATAAAATGTCATTAATATGAACTTGATATAAATTCTGCCGAGACTAGAGTTTAACAGCATACCACCTTTCCTTTATATACTGATGTTTCCAAAGATTAGAAACCGAATTACTTCTGAGAAATAGCACAGCAAAATTTTCTATTCTTTTCTCCAATGTGTTCTACCTAGATATTCAAATATTAAACAATCAACTTAAGATATATCATAATGCTGCTAATTGTGCATTAGACACAAAAATGCATAGGTACAATCATATTCCTAGAGTGTCAAAGTCCTAAAGAAAAAAAGTAGATTTGTTCATTACAGTACAAAAATTAAAGATAGTAAATATATTAAATGTACTCAACTACTTACAGAGATATGAACATACACAGGAGAGGCTGCTGAAATGAGAATAGTCAAATGAAGATGTATCTGGAGGGATTCATGGAGAGAATCAGTATATAATACTCTTCTGAAGGAAGAAAAATATGCCATTAACCTTCTAAATGCTGACAGATAGAAGACAGAAAAAAATATGTGAAGGGTTTATTTTAAGTGAGCAATTCATAGTATTGTGGCAGTTTAAGCATGGGAGGGAAGCAGATGGATAGAGGAACTCAAAGACTTTGAATAGTGATGCTTATTTTTTTAGGTTAGACTATTTGGGGAAAGTGGTAGACTTGTTTAAAGAGTTATGCCATTGGAATCTTTAATGTAATGATTTTCATTGCTATTCCTAAAGCAAAGGCTAATCAAGAAAATGGTAGAAGTTGTGCAGGCCACACAGTGGTGTTGGGCTGATTGAAGCATGCAGCAGTTAAAGCCCAGGAAAAGGACAGATATTGCTCTGGATCATAAGTGATGGGCTTAGGCCTTATATTGGATATTGCGTGTATAGTAAAGATTCAGCTTGCCAATGAAGCTTATGGAGAGAGTGGTACATGGCTTACAGTAGTGGAATGGTGGTGTTGGTTTGAGGGGGTGTAGTTGGGATAACAATAGAGAAAACTGAAATGACCAGTTGAGTGTCTTTTTCAATGCAGTTTTTTTTTTTAAGATATTCAGAAAGTAGGAATTGTAAGTATGGAGCTTGGAATATCCTCTACCCACCAAAATGCCAATTCAAATAATGAAGATTCAAAAAAAAAATCTGATATGGTTTGGCTCTGTGTCCCCACCCAAATCTCATCTTGTAGCTCCCATAATTCCCAGTGTTGTGGGAGCAACTTGATGGCAGATGAAGAGATGATTGAATCATGGGGGCAGGTCTTTCCCATGCTGTTCTTTTGATAGCAAATGGGTCTCATGAGATCTGATGGTTTTAAAAATGGGAGCTTCTCTGCACCAGCTCTCTCTTTGCTGCTGCCATTCATGTAAGATGTGACTTGCTCCTGTTTGTCTTCCCTTCATGATTGAGAGGCCTCCCCAGTCATGTGGAACTGTCAGTTCAATAAACCTCTTTCTTTTGTAAATTGCCCAGTCTCTGGTATGTCTTTATCAACAGCATGAAAACTAACTAATACACCATCTTGTAAAGTACAAATTGTCTAAATGGAGAAATATTCTTTTAAAAACAATCTACTAAATCTTGGTAACCTGCTTCCTAACTTGTGCTCCAGCCCAGCTTTGTGTTACAGAAGCTCCACTCAAAGCATGTACAGCCAGGAAGGCATGGAGGTCCTCATTCTCCCAGCTTCAAGTCTGAGATTATAGTTTCACACCAGGAGAGGCAGACTGCTGTTTCTCATCACCCTCCTCTTTCCCCAGTCTCCAGTCACGAGGTGAGAACTTTACTCCATGGACAGCAGGCCAGTAATACTGAGTCTCTGATCATCCACACTCAGGCCAACCTTTAGGGTGGAGATTCCATATGCAAGAGGCAGACATTCCTTCCACTATGTGCCCAACATGGAGCAAGGATTTCACTTCAAAAAAAGTTTCCAGCCCCAGCTTTAAGCAGTGGCCCAAGGATTTTCCCCAAGTTGAAACACTGTCTTTAGGAATAAGGAGCTCCAGGACACTGGCTAAAAGGACTGACTTCATTTAAACAGGGAGTGGAGAAACTCATTCCTTAAGGCATTGTTGAAAACAATGGAGATATTGGTGGAAGGCAATTAAAGGAGATTGGTAATTCCAGGACACAAGCAACATGGAAGAATAGCCAGAAGTTTAATAGAGAGAAACAGAAGAGGCAGCCAAGGAGAGCCCTCCTGTATCACAGTCAACTTTGAGGGTCTTGATGACTGTGCACTTGTCTAGGTTGTCACCCACTCAGGAGCAATCACGGTAGGACACGGCGCTGACATGACAGTATTAACCAAACTGCATCTATCAACACAGGATGGAAGTTTCAGTGGCAAAAGGGGCTTAAAAACAACCTCTAACCAAACACTAGCTAAAAAATAGGTCTCTCTGACTCAAAGATACCTCCTAGGAAACTAGGCTTAAAAATAAAATTGCACACAGCCTTGGCATCGTAGAAGATTGTATATATGTTGTAGGCTGCAGGCCTTTGGGAGAGATCAGAGAGGGAAGAACCAACCTAAAATTCCTTGGCAAAATGTGGGCAAAAACAAACATGTAAACTCCCCGAAACAAGAGCGCAGCATACAAGCCACATATATATCCAATGCTAAAAGGTACATATCTAACTGACTAAGAAAGATTAGGTACAATATTTGATCAGTAAGTGACCTATGCTGGTATAGGGTGACCTCTAGGCAGCTAGATTAAAAGATGAAAACAAGAGTGAACAATGTATGCAGGGGTATTAGAGGATGCACATTTTGATGGGAAAAAAACTATGGAATTATTTCAGCCAAGTCACTAAATATGTAAACAAATTGCCAAGTGGGCAGCAACAGTACTCTCTGGTAGGGTCTGAGGATCAGTCTACAGAATTTCAACAAAAATTTATGAGACATTCAAAGAAACAAGAAAGTATAATTCATATATGGGGAAGGAGGAGAGGAAAAACAAAAATAAAGACAAAAACAAACAAACAAAAACAAGGAAATAGAAACTGCCTTTGAAGGAAATAAGATGATAGCCTTAGCAAAGGCTGAAAAGCAGCTATACATACATTCAAAGAACTAAAGGGCACTATACTTATAGGATTAAAAGGCATAAAAATCATGATATTGATAAAAAAGTGAATCCATCAAGAAGGCATGATGAATATAAACATCCACACACCTAAAAACACCCTGAAATGACATGAAGCAAAAACTGACATAATTAAAAGGAAAAACAGACAATTCAGTAATAATAGTTGGAGGGTCAATATCCCACTTTCAGTAATGGACGGAATGACTAAGTGGAAGATGAACAAAGAAATGGAAGATCTGAGCAATACTACAGGACAATTAAAACAATACTATAAGATATCTAAAGAATACTCCACCCCACAGCAGCAAAATACACATTCTTTCCAAGCATACATGGAACAATCTTCAAGATAAACTTATGTCATGCTGTAAAATAGGTCTCAATAAACTTAACAAACTATGTTCTTCTTCCACAGTAGATTCAAATTAGAAATCAATAACAGAAGGACATTTTGGAAATTCACAATTATATAGAAATTGAACAACATGCTCATTGATGACCAATGGGTGAAAGAACTGAGAAGGAAAATTTGAAAATAATTTGACACTAAAGAAAATTAAAACATAATGTACTAAAACTTAATGAATGTATATAAATTAATAATCAGAGGGAATTTTTATCTGTAGACACCCACATTAAAAAATAAAAAATTTCATGAAAGAATAAGCCAAGCTTCTACATTAATAAACTAGAGACTGGGTGTGGTGGCTCATGCCTACAATCCCTGCACCTCGGGAGGCCAAGGCGGGCAGATTATCTGAGGCCAGGAGTTTGAGATCAGCCTAGCCAACGTGATGAAATTCCGTCACTCTACTAAAAATGCAAAAAATTAGTTGGGCGTGGTGGCAGGCACCTGTAATCCCAGCTACTGGGGAGGCTGAGGCAGAAGAATCACTTGAACCTGGGAGGCAGAAGTTGCAGTGAGCTGAGATTGCACCACTGCACTCCAACCTGGGTAACAAGAACAAAATACCATCTCAATAAATAAATAAAAGTAAACTAGAAAAAGAAAAGTACATTTCAAAGCAAGCAGAGGATAAAATAATAAAGATTAAGGTGAAGATTAGTAAAACAAGTAATGAAAATAGAGAAAATCAATAAAATTAAAAGTTGGATTTTTTTGAAAAGTTCAACAAAGTTGATCAAGAACCCATTTTTCTAAACCATTAACTAGACTGATCAAGAAAAAAGAGAGAGGTTGGGTGCAGTGGCTCATGCCTGTAATCCCAGCACTTTGAAAGGCCGAGACAGGAGGATAACCTGAAGTCAGAGTTCAAGACCAGCCTGGCCAACATGGCGAAATTCCATCTATATTAGAAAATACAAAAATTAACCAGGCGTGGTAGTGGGCACCTGTAATCTCAGACACTTGGAAGGCTGAGGCAGGAAGAATTGCTTGAACCTGGGCGGAGGAGGATGAACTGAGTGGAGGTCACACCACTGCAGCACTCCAACCTGGGTTACAGAGTGAGATTCCATCTCAAAAAAAAAAAAAAGAAAAAGAAAAAGGAGAAAAGACTTGAATTAATAAAATAATAAAATCAGATATGAAAAGAGAAGGTTACTACTGATCTTAGAAAGATAAAAGGATTATCAGGCAATACTCCAATAAATTAGATAATCTAAATGAAATGGACAATCCATAAACATAAAAACTACTGAAATTGACTCAAAAAGAAATTAAAATCTAAATAAATTTGTAACAAGAGTAAGAGTTTGATTTAGTAAGCAATAACAACAACAAACGTCTTACGAAGAAAAGCCCAGGACCAGATGACTTCATGGGTGAATTTTTATCAAATATTTAAAAAACTATCACCAATCCTGCACAAACTCTTGCAAAAAGTAAAAGATAAAGACACACTTCCCAATGCATTTTATGAGGCCAATATTACTTTGATTTTAAAAAAAAAAGATAAAGAAATCACAAAGAACATTGTAGACTTCCATCTCTTATGTATATTCATATACAAATACTCAAAAAAAATCTAGAAGACCAGATTCAGCAATATATTAAAAAATTATATACCATGAGCACAGGGGATCTATTCCGGGATCATGAGACAACAAATATAAATCAATGTTAATAAAACAAAGGGAAAAACAACACACAGTACTATCTCACAAACACAGAGAAATATGTGACAAAATCCAACACCCTTTCATGATAAAAATATTCAACTTATTAAGAGTAGAAAAGAACTTTCTTACCCTGGTAAAATCTTTAGTATACATCATACTTAATGATAAATGGCTGAAAGGTTTCTCCATAAGATCAGTAATAAAACAAGAATGTTCACTCTTGCCATTTCTAATCAACATTGCATTATGAGATTTAGCTGGGAAA